GGTATCGGGGGGTGATAGGGAAACGCTAGTAGGACGGCGTTGTGACAAGGCAAGCGCTCTACGTTAGAAAAGGATAGTAATACGCAGAGGTGTGCTGTTCGCGTGCCTGGTTGAATTTGCATATTGCACAGAGTCGGATTTGATTTGGATATACGATCTAGCGTACGACTGTTTCCCTATTTTGGCGCATAGTATACTCAGCCCCTATTACTCTTATTACCGTTATTGTATTGTTGTATTATCGTGTTGTTATTGTTGTGTTGTTATTGTTGTGTTGTTATTGTTGTGTTGTTATTGTTGTGTTGTTATTGTTGAGTGTCTTTCTTATCAAGGTATCAAAAATGAACAATAAGAGAAATAAACGTGGCGTCTCGACGAAGCCGCATTTAAATACGCACAGGAAAAAAAAACGTTTTCCAGATAGAAAGGTAGATACCAAAACAATTATGAATTTTAGCATTCATTTTGCCAATAAATTAGACTATACGTAGTTACTATTATAATTATATTTTATATGTTATTTTAGCTTAAAAATGACAGCAAGGTTTCGCATATGCATTCTCTAACAGAGACAGATGGCATGGATCTTCAAATTCAGGTGTGTATACCCTTTTTTTTAGATTTGCACCAGAGGTTGATATAATTTCTGGCAATTCTGATTAAAAATGCAGTAAGTTTACTTCATGACGTCGATAATAGTATTGTAGAGCAGTTTAACTCAATCATAGCTAAATTCATTGGGGGTAAACGGATTAATTATTGCAAGAAGAGATCCTACCAAGCAAGATTTGCTGCAGACGTAGTGAGCCACAATACACAGCGACCTGTTTGTGTGATCCAAAAGCGGCTACTCCCTAGTTTCAGTCCAACCTCTTTGATTGCTAAAGTGGAAGAAAGGAGAGCGCACAAAAATCTGAAAAGGAAGCTGAAACCAAGGAAAATTAAAACCAGAGATAGTGATACTAAAGAGAACGCATCCTATGGGGAATTCTGTGAGAAGCCTGACATGAGCAACGAAGATATAGAGGCTGCCAAGGTAGAATTCTTGAAAAAACTTGCAAAAACCGACTCCAAAATTTCCCAGATCGAGCAAGCCACAAAATCTCAGGATTGCAATTTGTGGCGTCTTCATCGAAGAATGAGGTTGACTGCGTCTCGGTTTGGTGAGGTTTGTAGAAGAAGAGATACAACAAGTTGCAGAGCTCTAGTAAACGCCATAATATACCCAACCGAATTCTTTAGCAATGCATGTGACTATGGAAAAAAGCATGAAAGCGTGGCAAAGGCAGAAATAGAGAAATCATATTCGCAATCAGAAGTACAATCTTGCGGGTTGTTTATTGATAGGACACATCCATTTCTGGCAGCATCGCCAGATGGTTTGATAGGCGAAAAAGGTCTGCTAGAAATTAAATGTCCATGGTCGGCTAGAGAAATGACCCCTGAAGAGGGCATTCTGAACAAAAAAATAACGTTTTGGATAAACGATGAAATAAATAAAAAACATAAGTGGTATTACCAAAAAAAGGGCAGCTACACGTTGCACAAAGAGAGTGTGTGCTTGGTGTTTGGACCCCGTATGGTTTGAAAATAGACGTCATTCAAAAGGATGACGTTTTCTGGAAAAATGAAATGGAAGAGAAATTGAAATTCTTCTACATGAACTGCTTGCTCTTAGAACTGGTCGATCCCAGGAAAAGCAGAAATATGCCAATCCGCGATCCCGATGTGATCTTGAAGGCACAAGAGAACCGTTTGAACAAGAAAAAGAGTTCTTGAGAATTGGCTGTTTTTGCTGTACTCGGGTACCAAAATGGAAGAGATTAGCATATTACATTGTACGCCGTTACTAACCCCTTCGTGTCGGCAAATGCGGTGTGCAGATCTCGCTTTAGCAGCGATGTGCGAGATGTTATGCTAATCTCTTCCATTTTGGTACTAGTACTAGATGTTCACTATTTATTGTATATTATGTATATATTGTTTATTTAAATAAAAGTCAATCGTCAGGCTCAATAGCACGTAGCATCGGCTAGCTTTATCTAGCCTGTTAGATGGCGAGTATTGAAATGTCACATTGACACGTTAAGCGCCACAGTAGAATCTGAAAATCCAGTCCACTGGGCCAAACTGTTATTATTGTCAAATTAGCTTGTTTTAAGTTTCGGTTTAATATTTTGACTTGACTTTTTTCTCAAATCCTATGATTTTTCCCCTTTTTTGATTTTTTTTTCTGAGGTACTAGTTGTATGTCGCGTGGCCTACACACCAGTCGGGTCGCGTGGCACATAAGTCGCGTTTTTTGCAAGTCAAGACTTGCATCATGTCGCGCGTTGAGCACTGTTTCGTGTCATTTATTATTGAAGCGTTGTTGGTATTGTACGTCATCTTGTCCAAATTGCTTTACTGTTTATAAATTATTGAATACCAAATTTATGATGTCGCATTACGAAGCGGAGCAAAAAAGGCTTGAACAATTGTGTAATGAAATACTATCGGATGAAGAGAGTGGCTGTACTGAGTTATGTGGGGATGTATACTTATCTGATGCGTATTCTCCAAGTGGTAGTGAATCAGATAGTAGTTGTAGTAATTCCATATTTATCTGTATTACTGTTTATTTATACCGGTATTTTGTTTATTCCTGCATAAGACTTTGTCAATCTGTTTAGTTTATAAGAGTTCCTCCATATTTGTGTTCGTTAGAATATCGACATTTACCATAACTTACTGATTTGCTGTGAAATTACTTTGTTCATTTTTGAATGAGAATGTCTGATTATTTTATAAGATTTGCTTTTTGTTTTAGATTTGTAGAATATCCTCTTTTTGTAAAACTCTATAAACAACGTGTTTTTTAATGTTTTCATTTCCAATTCAGTATAATTTGGTCCCTCAGGCCACGGACTCTTGGTTACCGTAAGAAAATCACATCAGCATGACACACGTCTTACGTTACGCGGCCAAATATAACTGCCAGCAGTGAGACATATCATGCGTGTCACGAGGCCCAAAGCGCCAAATGAGGTGCGACACACGCATTATATCTCATGACGCTTATCGTGTTAAGTTTATTTTACGATACTCCATAAGGTTAAAGCTAAACAGCAAGTGACATTTTATTTGGGTTAAATGCGTTCACTATAATTATTATTTTTAACTAAAAAGATTACCGCCTCCAATGACCCTGGAACCACCTGGAAACTTTTGGTCACAAAGTTCTGTATTTTACCACACATGTCAAGTCTTTTCATTTGATATGTAAATTGGGGGTTTTGTACCAAAATATGTAACTCGCAATTTCGAAACGGCGGCAATCTTGGAATCAAATTTTTAGTGAAGTACTGTATTCTACAAGGCGACGGCTCTTATTTGAGATATTAGCAAGTATGTTATCCGCCATTTTGTAACGGCCGCCATCTTGATTTGAAACTGTTTTCGTATTACTGTTTTGTACAAGTGCTTCCATTTGATATCCATATTGGGGTGATTGAACAAAAATGATTTTTTGTGGTATCACCTCTGAAGCATGGCCTATTGTATAAAAAGAAATGATCAAAATCGATTAAAAATTTCCCCTCTTTCATTGAAGTCTATTAAAAATATCACTTACTGGTCCGATGTTTATCTCGAACGACCGACGTTAAAACTGCTACTGTTTAACTTGGGACAACAAATTATCTGAATACGTCCTTTCTTAGTCCGTACACACCGCCGCGTTGCTTCGACTGGCAGCACGAGATAGTGGATAAAATTCGTGTAAAAGCCTATTTGCAGAGGTTTTCGCGCTTCAAAATTGACGCTTTATTTTTGAATATTTTTCAATGAAATTTTCACAGTGCACTAAAAACAAGACTCCACAGGGTGCTATAGAGCCACTTTTTCGTTTTTTCCTCTGGGTTATTTTTAAAAAAATCGAGAAGTCGAACAACAATTATCTGCACTTCCACCCACCATAACTCCTGAAAAAAATTTTTTTTTAGAAAAGTGGCTCTATAGCACCCTGGACAATTGTCTTTTGAACATACTGTATAAATTTTATTCAAATATATAGAAAAATGGAGCGTCAATTCCGAAGCAGCTAAACCCTTGTAAATGGCCTGAAACTCACTGCGTCGGAGCCGCTTGCCAATTTCCCAATTAACAATTAATTGTATATATATATATACAGGGTGACTTTGAAGTTGAGTCATTAATTTTCAGATAATGATTGTAGAAGGGAGATAAACCAAAATATGTGTGTAAAAATTAAAAAAAAAAATTAAAAAAAATGTTACCTTATTTTATAAAATATCCTCCCGACAAGTATTTCAGTGCGGACCTGTATTTGATCGTGCGGTCTTGGAGCACATACCCTCCCGTGTGTGGACTTAAGTCACCTGATTCACGAGCCCTTTGTACTACATTAACAAAGGCACTAGGGGTTGGTTGCACTCGATTGGGAAACCGATCCGTATAAATCCGTGTTGCCGTAGCAGCATTTTGTAAAATAAGAATCATGTCCACAAGTTCAGCATTTTCGTAAACATGTGCCATTTTTTATTTCGTTTGAGCCACGCAGAAACACCACTCACGCGTTACCGACTGACACATCGAATGAATAGAACTGAATAAAATAAATGAATAAAACATCGTGATAAGCGTTTCAAATTGTTTCGCTTTTTTGTTTCCGATTATATCCGTTGTTGCCAAACACGAGCACATATTATTATTGAGACAGGGCGGTACTCAAACTTCTAAAGGGCTATAACTTTGTTACTTTAATTTTACCACAAAAATGTTAAAGGAAAAAAACATTTCTTTTGATCAGATCTACTCACTGTAAAAAAATAAATGACTCAACTTCGAAGTCACCCTGTATATATATATATATATATATATATATATATGTTGATATAGAAACTAAGTTATTTAATAGGGACCTTTCGCACTAAATTCAAATTGGAGCTGCCTTTCTAGAATATAGCTGAAGAGAGAACTTTATTAAAACCTTGTTACAGGTGGAGTACAACTCCAAATACTTCGCACTAGTAAGGACTTCTCAGGAAATCCGCAGTGTCCACAAGGAAGGCCGTATCGCCTCTCTGATTGGAGTGGAAGGAGGGCATGCTCTGGGAAATTCTTTGGCCGTCTTGAGAACATTCTACAATTTGGGTGCCAGGTATATCACTTATCCAATTTCATCAGCAGCTTTTTAGTTTAAAAAATATGTGGCCCTCAATGTTCTTATAGACAGTAAATATACCGGGATGATTCCTTCTTCAGTTACAAGAAATTCGCATTTTTAATAGCTGAAATTGCAAAACGAATTTGAAATTCGTGCATTCAGACTATCTCTCCTTTTATTCGCTATTGTCTGCTAGTGCAGCCCGTAGGATCTTTGCTCTTAGTTAATGTGTTGTAGGCATTGGGTCTGTCAGGTCTGACTATCCAGATAGCAGACAAAATCAGTGATACAAATATGTCTAGTTTTGTTTGAAGCCTGAGCTTCAGAACCATTCGATTATCACCTCATACGTTTTCGTCTTGGAAGGTGATAGAAACGATTTCGAAATATTTTCAAACCTAGAAAGAGACCAAAGCTGTCTAGTCTACCAATTTTTCAGAATCTATCTGTCACTTTGCCAGCAATTTATGATGTATTGTTATTAACAGATAACAGAATTATGTAAACAAGTAATTCCAAGTGATGAGTAGCCTAGGAGGTTATAGAAAGGTTTTTCTAGAATCACTGAAAGATCTCTTTATCTTTCTATTACAAACCTACGCGCAATTATGCTGAAGATATGATCCTGATGTACCATATTCGAAAGTGTTCCGCAGCCTATTACAAGGAGATTGTAGCATTGCATTTCAGCTAGAGGTGAACGGTTCTTAAAATTAGAATTTTTTTTACTAACATCTATTTTTCACTTTATTGCAAGATACCTGACGATAACTCATTCGTGTGACACCCCATGGGCAACAGGGCAAGACTCAAAGACGGACGATGGTCTGTCAGACTTTGGTCGCAGCGTGGTCAAAGAGATGAACCGTCTGGGAATGATCGTGGACCTGTCCCACACCTCAGTCATCACTGCCAAACAAGCGCTTAATGCATCAAGCGCACCTGTGATCTTTTCCCATTCCAGCGCTTATTCGCTTTGTAATACTTCAAGAAACGTTCCTGGTAAGTTCAATTCTATTTTAAGCCGGTTTGATAACAAAAACGTGGGTACGATAGGTGTTGCACCGAATCTATAATAATTTTTGTACTTGCCTAACCGACCTGGGCTATAAGTCGTGTCAATTTCAGTGTAAGGGTCCTCGCAGACTTTCTTTCGGCCGATAGTTTGGTCGGCATCTTAATCAGTATGGAGCAGTATGCATATGCGCACATTATAGCGATTCAGTATCGGCGAATAAAAAAATTTGTCAATTCCAATGATGGCAAGATTGTACCATTGTTTTTTGCAACTACACCTACCTCGTTTGGTAAGCAGTAGTACATTTGCAGGAAATTTATTTGATAGTGTCGTCTGTTATTAAGCTGTCCATAGTATACAGGGTGACTTCGAAGTTGAGTCATTTAACAGTCATTTTAACAGTGAGTAGATCTGATCAAAAGAAATGTTTTTTTCCTTTACCATTTTTCTCGTGAAATTAAAGTAACAAAGTTATAGCCCTTTGGAAGTTTGAGTACCGCCCTGTCTCAATAATAATATCATGTGGTCGTGTTTGGCAACAACGGATATAATCCACCTTACCGGTTCATCGCATCGGAAACAAAAAGCGAAAGAATTTGGAACGATGTTTTTACAATAAATTACTTTATTCAGTTCAGTTATACATACAGTCAGTGTCAGTCGGTTAGCGTGTGACTAGTGTCTGTTGCGTGGCTCAAACGAAATAAAAAATGGCACATGTTTATGCGGATCGGTTTCCCAATCGAGTGCAACCAACCTCTCGTGCCTTTGTTAATGTAGTACAACGGGCTCGTGAATCAGGTGACTTAAGACCTCACAGGGGACCTCACGATCAAATACAGGTCCGCACTGAAATACTTGTCGGGAGGATACTTTATAAAACAAGGTAAACATTTTTATTTAATTTTTTTTTATTTTTACACACATATTCTGGTTTATCTTCCTTCTACAATCATTATCTGAAAATTAATGACTCAACTTCAAAATCACCCTGTAGATCGGTTCGAAACCGTTGTTACTTCGCCTCCACCCGTACTTGTTTGGATCTAACCATGTTTGTAACTGGTAATATACCCATAGAAGGGGGGTTTTGAATATGCGTTTTTCAACCACCTATCCAGATTAACTTGTTAAAATAAATTATATTGAAAATTAAGGAGGTTATTGTAAATGTTTATTACTATAAAAATGACTAGTTTTTAACATCATTTTCAACAACAATTTTGAAATAAATAGTCAATTTTTGCATAATCAGTTGAAGTTAAACCTTTAAGAATCCATTTTACTTTTGTAGAATATTCTAGGACCATCTTGGGCAAGAACGCTTAAATAATTCGTCTCTGGGATAAACAGTCAGCCTTTTACATAAAGTGTCAAACCGATCTGGCTGAAATTTAGCACACATATATCAACACCAATGATGGCCTCATTCCCACAAATTTTTAGCCATTTGTAATTGTTATTGCAAGCGTTATAAACATTTATTCGTATTTAGCTCGATTGTTTATCGATTTCAACTCTTGAAAAATAAAATTGAAGGTCCTTTTATGCTCTAACATCTCCAGTTTACCGATTGTTTGTAAAGTTCAATTTGAAAATTATAACAAGCAAAACACTGAATTTTGAGCTTTTCCCATTGTTTATAAAAACAACGCATATCTGGCTGTATCTTTGTCATTAGAAAAACCTCCCCTTCCATTTAAAGCTTTTAGATATCTGCTAAACTTTTTTACACGAAATAGCTATTTTTTTCTCTCTCTGTAGCCTGGGCTAAAAAGAGACGACGTGTTTGAGTGACCAGCTCAAGCGCCACGCATCTTGTTTATTCATAAATCGGAATTGAGAAAGAAGAAATATGCGTCTTCAAGACGCTGCTGATGCTTCGCGAATGTATTCAGATCGTTTTTCTGGACCGTAGGATTGTTAATTCCATACAAAGGCGTGGATGGAAGTGGATGTCGAGTTGGGCACAGTAAAACACCTAGCAGACCTTGTTACAGATTAAACAAAAAGTTAACAAATATGTGCTTTTGAATCGGACGGCAACAATCTCGAACTGTATTTATAAACACGTGACATGGTGGTAGTTGAAATATTTCTTATCAAATGAATAGTGAGTATTTTTATTTTTTTATTTTTTCTCTGCTTTTTTTACCGCACATTAGCTTCGTTATTTCAAACGTAGTTATTTATTAAAAGAAAAGCATAAATTTCTTTGCTGCCTCTATCGTTTGCCCTCGGGCTATCACTGAGAAAACTTACTTGACTACCCAGCTATTAAGCTACCGGGCGTTGACCCTGTCAGACGGACCCGCCAGGCTTCTGCCTCCTATTGTAAGTCTGTCGAACAGCGTATATCCAGAACTGGCCGGTACTACCGGTGCTTTGTTCCTAGGGTGTCATAGTGAAGAACAATCTGCTGAGGACGCTTACCCAAAAATCGGATTAACAATGTGTTTTTAAGCTCCATACATTAGTCGTGGTGTCCCGGTATTTATGTTTCTGCTCATACGGCTGCATCAGGATAAAACATAATGAATTATTACTAGCGAATACAATATGACATGTATAAAAGCCACCACAAACAACCAGTGATTATCGTAAAAAATTTATAAATAATAAAGCCAACATATTCCACCTGATATCGTTGCTACAGCTGAAACACCACCCAAAACTTACTTATATTCGTATATCACCTTCCACTTTTCAAAACGAAACTATTTTACCTAATTCCAGATGACGTTCTACGTTTGATCGCCCACAACGGCGGCGTCATCATGGTGAACTTCTACACATACCACGTGACCTGCAATAAGACTGCCACCATCCAGGATGTCATCAAACACATCAACCACATCAGATCTGTGGCTGGCATCGCGCATGTCGGGATCGGAGCTGGCTATGACGGGATAAACATGACGCCCAGCGGCCTGGAAGATGTGTCCAGGTAAGCCAGACAAGAAAGTATTCCTTCTAGAAAGCCGTTTTTGATGTACCAAGTACAACTTTTTCATAAGACCGAGTCCCGGTTGCTGGGCTAGACGTCAAAAAAAACTATAAAATGTCAGCCTAAGTTGCTTTTAGGGTGCAAACAGTCATTCCAGGTTTGCTCACTAGGGCCGTTGTGAGCGTCCATCTATGGAGGAATAGCTCAACTACACGCATTGTTAGTTGCATGTGTTTTGTGAAGCCGAGTAGCTCATGGTTTTCATCTTCCAGAATAAAGTTGAATAACAAGATCACATCTGGATGATTTGTCTGTATTGGTCTGCATGTGTATAAAATCAGTGATATTTGCTGTGTGAGAAAATCATTACGGAATATGCTGCCAATGCAGTATATCTGTTAGCTGTGCCCGACGTGTTTTTATATGTTGTCCTTTATGGAAACAGGTTATGTTCAAAGTAATAAATTACGATTTTTTACGTTTGTGTTTTCAAAAACTTGTAATTCGACAGTGTACAGTGAATATAAATATTTCTTATCTTTCTAATTTTTGAAATTCAGCAAATGTAATTTCCAGAATGTATAAGAAAAACTGGATGCGCAACTAATTTCTAGCTTTGAATCTCAAATAGGTGTATTTGAGACAAGAATCCAATGGAATTATCATCAACACATATTATTAGCACACAAATCCTCACTATGCACCTATGCATTGCCTCCAGTAATGCCATCTCTGAAGCAGATTTTACATCACATCAGAGCCAAACATTGATAACTGAAGTCTCACGACGTTTAGGCAACACGTACATCTACAAAACGAGTTCACAACGTGTCCATCAGCTAGTGCTAAGTTAACTCTTATAGAAAAACCTGCATAACCGACGTAATTTTGACTAGCATTTCAACCAAAAAGTGTCTAGTAACAATGGCAATGTGGGTGCAACTTACCGCAGAATTTTCATGGACACGATTACGATTTCTATGTCAGTTGTGGAGGAGACATATAGAGAGTGTTATTTACTCATCTTAAAGTCGCATGTCCCTTTTTTCAACTGCCTGTTTGGAGCAGTATTAAAAATGCTTTTCATCTGATTATTCCATGGTGTGTATAGAGATGACCAAAAACAATGCTCATTATTTTTGTCTGAAGATGTAATTTTGTGCATTTTTTTCCTCAAATCGTGACCTGGTAACAAATATTAGTACAGCTGTGAAATTGTATGTCAAAAAAGAGAGTAAGTGATAAGAAAAATGGCGTTAAGTAGATTGGCTCTATACCTCCTACGCCTTCGTTGAGGTTTCAAAGAAAAGGGTTGAGTCAAATCATTTCAGAAGGCGACATCGAATCGTGATAAGGTAGGTTCACTAAGGTACCATTTAAACCATTTAAAGCAAATCTCTCCTATTTCTGTTTTCATGGCCGATGTAGGGAAAATATCTGTGACTTATTATGCCTTACAGGTGTACAGAATCACTGAGATTATTAGCTTCTTAATAATAGAAGGTCTTTCACTGACATCAAATATGCAACAATTTACAGTAAACTACCCAATACAACTTCAAGCGTACAGTTTTCATCTCCTCCAAATAACATCTGAAAATGAATAGCAATATCTGAAACGTTGTCACACTAAATTCCAGCGATTTTATTTCCACCGCCTGTGTATCAATTTTCATAATCAACGACTATCTAAATGATGGAAGTATTAAGCTGGCGATAATATTCGAACTTCGGTTTACATGTTTTCTGTTGCTTAAAGATGACTGCATCACACAAATCCGTGTTTCTCATTTATGTCGGTCCGTGTCTGTTGTTCAGCAATGCGTCATGATCTACTTGACGAAATATTCAAAGAACCATCTTAGACGGAGTAACACAAATTAAAGATTGAGCGAAATGGGTGGTACATTTAATTATAAAATTCAGTAAAAATATATGTATACAGGGTGACAGGTAAATAGGTGTAAAACATTTTAGGAGGTGATAGTACAGCCCCTTTGCTATCGAAATTAGTATATAATACCATACCCTATGTTCAAAGGTTGAAAAGTTATTGAAGATTTAAGTTTTTTTAAAAACAATCCATATTTCAGAGTAAAAAAGTCGAGAGAGAAAAAAGTTGGCGATTAAACATTTGTTTTTCGTAGTTTTGGGTTATTATTTCAATAATTAACTATTATAAATTAAAAAAGATTCGAAAACAATACCAAACAACGTATTTATTTTAATTCAAAAATGTTTAACTAAGAAAAACAAATAACGTTTTACAGTAAGTAAGGTGTTTTACCAAAACATCAGTATACAAAAAAACGTACAAACAATTTAAATAATATCCTTGTTTCATAAGGAATCTAAATTGGTGTGATACGTGCACAAAAACTGTGTGAAACTAAACATAATGTATTGTAATACAACAATAGGGAGTAAATTTACCAATGGCTTGTCTCCTATTTTCACAACTCTCTGATTGATAAGAAAGTGTTTTTGTGAAAATAATGTAACTGTAAGCTATGGGATAGTTATTATTTTAAACTACGGTTAAGTTACACGATTAGATTATTTACACAGTTGTAATTGTACTAAAAAATAATAAAAACTGACTAAAAGTTACTACAATTGATAAGTAAAATACAATAATGAAATGAAGGTAAAATTCATTGCAATTGTTGTTCGAACTGACGCCCGCCGTTTCTTATGCAAGCCCGTAGTCTTTTTCTCAAGTTGGTACGCGTGATGCGGCCAGTTAGTTGTCCTCTGATAGTGTCAGCAGCAGCAATAATTCTTTCTTTCAACTGTGCAAGAGTGTCTATGGGCTCAGCGTACACCAGTGACTTCATGTGCCCCCATAAATAATAGTCATACGGTGTTAAATCTGGGCTCCTCGCTGGCCACGGTGTCGGTCCACCTCGGCCAATCCAGCGACAAGGATATTTCTCGTCCAGCCACTGTCTAACACCCAGACGGAAATGCGCGGGACAGCCATCGTGTTAGTAGATCATCTGCATCCTGATATTCAGAGGCAGGTCTTCGAGATACTCCCAGAGTTCGGATCTCAAAAAGTTTTCATAGGTTTCGCCATTCAGGTTGTCAGGCAAAAAAACTTGTCCAATTAGATACGTATGAATGATTCCCATCCACACGTTTGCCGAAAATCTTCTTTGATGAGCTCTTGGCTTTGCCATGTGGGGATTTGCCTCTCGTGGGGCCCAATAATGTAAGTTGTGTTGTCCCCTCTCTGTCAAACTTAGACTCGTCGGTCCACAATATTTTAGTTAAATAGTCGTTTTCTTCTTGATCCCGATGAAGCATGTATCGACAAAAATCAATTCTTCTTGCGGGATCTCCTTCTTCTAATACTTGAACCGGTGTATAATGGAAAGGGTAAAGTCTCGCCGAATGCAAAACGAACCAAACTTTCCACTGAGTTAAACCAAGCTGCTTTGTTATAACTCGTGTAGACGTCGTCGGGTCTCTGCCGTAGCATTCCAGTATTGCCTCTCGATCTTCGTCGTCAAACAACCGAGGTCTACCGGCATCATGACGTCTCTCATGAACCTGTCCACTTTCCTTGACGCGTTGGTACACAGAAGCAAATACTCGATGACTCGGTATTCGCCGATTCGGATAACGGTTTTCGTATTCTCGCCTGGCTTGAACGGAATTTCCTTCACTTAAACCATAACAAAACAGAATATCAGCGTATTCTTCGTTACGGTAACTCGCCATTATTAAAACTGATCAAAAAAGTAAAAGTACGTCCTACCGTGTTAAAGGTTGATATTCTACTAACTAACCTAAGCGTTAGTTCCCTGTCCTTGATCCGTCAGCTGTGTCAATTCATAACACACGCAGAGCTTGCTTCCGAGGAGCGACGACAGATTCCGAATACTTAAACCCGAATAACGGCACAGGGCACAAAAAAAACAAAAAGGGTCGTTACCATGAAAGGCTCGGTTTACCTGCTCAATACAATGAAATGTGCTTAGCGGTCCTTTCTAGCAAAGTAATATTGTTTTGTTAAATGGTTTACTTACTGATATGTTATTATACCATTTTAGAAACCTAATGAAACGAGGAAGTTTTTGCAGTTATTTGTACATTTTCTTTATTATGATTTTTTTGAAAAAAAGACTTCTTAATGTGAAAGTTGAAAATAAAAATTTTCATTTAACATTTAAATGAAAATAAATACGTTTTCAGTAGTGTTTAGTATTATATACTAATTTTGATAGCAAAGGAGCTGTACTATCACCTCCTAAAATGTTTTACACCTATTTACCTGTCACCCGTAGATATAAAAGCAGTTTCGTCATCATTTACAAAAGCATTGCAGAACGCTCAAGTGGTACGTATTCTTAATATCCAAATACTGCTGAAATATATAAATATTTTGTATGTAGCGGTGTGTTCCTACAACCTCCAACCCCAAAGTGTCGACCACTGCAAAAATAATTCCAAAGATAGTCAGGATCCTCTGAAACGTCAAAAAATAAAGCTCAAGCGATTTTAATTTTTTTTTTGCCGCTAGCTCCACCATCACACTAGACTGATTTTCAGAAACTATTCTTAGCATTGCACTAACTTTTTGTGAACATTTTATCAAAATTCTAGTGTTACTTTTCAAGTTATAAAATTAGTGGACAGGCCGACAGACAGACCGACGGAAACGAGTGACATAGTGTTTCGTGATGTACATAAAAAAAATGTAATATCTCATTTTCGAAATTTTTCGCGATTACCATACTTCCTCACCAGTTTTGGCATAGGAGGTAAAAAACGATCACCGGCTTAGTACTTCTATTAAAGTGGAATTTCAACATGCAATTTTAAAGCTGTACTATTATTTGTTAATAAGTTACGATTGATGAAAAAAATCACAAAAAATGCATTTTTTGACAAAAAAAAAGA